GCAAGAAGTTCAGGTAAAAAGAACAGGCCTATACAATCTGTGGTTCGATTTGCTTTAACAACGCTTAAGAATTCATTTCGTCCTTGTTGTTTATCAAATATTAAATAAGGATAAATAATGCTCACGAATGTGTGAGCGTGAATTGAACCGCGGTTATAAATATACACGTAAGTATATTCTCGTATGTGTGAATTTAAGTCTGGGGGATCGTATTACTCGTAAAGTGACGATTGCAACGGCAGGGGAATATCTCGTTATCTCAGCGTAATTTGAGCGTGCGAAACCTTCCCCGTCGAGCAGCCTGCATTCGAATTTCAAATATCGATTATCGAGCGATCGCTCGAACTACGCGTTGCCCCTCCATCTTGAAACTCTTGTTCTCTCGCAACTATAATTATACTCGTATGCTGATTATACATCTATTTTAATTCAAGAAATTATATTATATAAATAATACAGTTACACAACAAAAAAAAACATCAGAGTTCTATATATACATATATATATAATATACTGGCACGCCTTCCCTGTACTAATTACTATAGAAAACTTACGATCTGATGGGGAAAAGGAAGGCAAACGAATACTTGTTGTTCTGATTCTTTCCTGTTTATGGCTGCGTTCGGAAATGTCGCTCGGATGTCTCTAATGTCTCGAATTTATCATCTGTCCTCGTTCAACATTTAATGTTAAAGAAGGACAGATGACGAATCGGAGGCATCCGAGCGATGTTTCCGAACGCAGCCTATGTAGGAAAACAACATTAGCCAATCAGCGAATTCCTGACAAAGAAAACCGTACAATCTTTACAAATTTTTGCAACGGAATATCACTGTCTATTCTCTAAATTCTTTGGAATGAAATCTCATTTCTGTTTTCTATAGCTAAACCGAGAGCTAAATTATAATACATATTTATACTTTCGAAACTTAATTTGAAATAGATTTATGTTTAGTGAGAAAAAAAGTTGTAGAATGCAGTCTAAAAAAAACAAAATGCAGAATAAAAAAAACAGACCGGCTAAAAGAAAAAATTGAGCCAGTCTGGAAAAAGAGTGGCTCAGTTTTCGATCCTTAGAGTGAAATTTCACTCTTTAGAATGAGATTCACTTTAAAAGTTTGCTTTCCAGCAAAGACAGTCGGACACTGTGGCTGCGTTTCACTTAACGCTCGCATCGTTTGTCCTTGTTTAACATTTGATGAACGACAAGAATGAAATAATTCCACGAGCGTTAAGTGGAACACAGTTTGTGTAACATAGTGAATTGTTTCACCCTTGTTTAGGCAAACAATAAGGATGATTCACTGTGTATGCCTTCCAAGCGACACAAATGACACAAATAACACGGCGTGACACAATAGGCATATTCTTTTTGCCTGAACTTTTGCACCAGCTCATCTTTCTTCCTCTTCTTTCCTCCTGGAGAGAAAAGGCAAAAGTTCAGCCAAAAAGAACAGGTCTATTGGATCATTATATCCTTGTTTGCCAATGTTGAACAAAGATGACATGATCGCTTGTTGGAAGGCACCTTTTGAAAGTAGGAATTTGGACACTTTCACACCTCGATGGCTCGATTCAGTATATTATAGTTTCACTGAATTTGATCAAATTGATTTTCATCTCCACTTCATTGTGACTTGAAATTAGAGAAAGAGACAGAGTTCTTAATGTCTTCTGTCTCTTTCTAAAGCGAGATGCAATGAGAACGCGCAGTTTATACTCACCGCGTCTCGGCGTCTGTGGTTGCTACGATACGAGATTTACCCTGCGACTTGCGACGCGAATCTTTTTTCAACGTGCCGCAACTGGCGACGCGCCGTGACGTTAACCTTTATCTAGTTGCAGCAGGCCATTGTTGCGTGACGCTGGAACGTACTTGACATAGAAATGTGAAGTTTTATACAACTTGTGCGCGAGAGATTGTACTTCGTTATAGCTCTTCGTTAGGATCGATCGTTAGGTGAGATGATTTCTTTGGTTTGATTCTTCGAAAGGTTCCACGATTCAACACTCAACTTGACAAGACTCGCATATGACGCTTTCGACTTTCGAGATTACTTGAAGTACGTCGAATCACGCTGATGTGACGTGACTGCAGCGTTAATATTAGGCGGGAATTTTTAATTGGTATTCTCCCAACACACGTCTTGTATATTGGATATAATAAAAATGTTTTATATATATAATTATACAAAACATAGATGTTATGTACATAATGTAAATTATGTATGTTATGTAAATAAACTGTATAATTATTATAATATAATATAACATTTTATGTATTATTATTAATTATTATGTATATATATATATATAATATACACATAGATCATTTACTTCCAACAAAAAATAAAATCCAACAAAGATATTACAAAGGCTGTGAACTAAAGTTAATTATTTTACACTAGAATTAATATATAATACTCTTTAATAATGGACAACAAACATATCTTCATTGTCATTTTCAATATTATACTTATATACTATATAAAATTCAATAACGGTGAAAAGCAACCTTTGTTAACAGGATTAATCAGGCTGTATTATTTTAAACTGTTCCCGCAAATTAACGAACAATTATAAAAATAATCAACATATTTTTTTCAGGTATACAATGAAGTCCAACAAAAATATAAGTAATAGCGGACTGTGGGGCGAGTTGCCAGCACGGGAGATGATTAAGCAAGAAGTGATAACGCCAGATTTAATAGAAAACGTTTGGCGACAAGTCATGGAAGATTCAAACAGCACCGACTGTGATTACCGGATTGATCGGCAACCTGAATATTTACAGTAAGTATAATTTACTACGTTGATGTCTGGAATGATGAGTTAATCCATTATCAAATATTCAATAATATTCGTTACAGATTACCAATGGGAAATTTACAAGTATTAAACACTATAAATCTTCATCAACAATTACGTACGATGGTAAGATTTAAACAGATCTCTCAATACAAAGCTTTTGCTAATAATATACTATTAGTAAATATACTGATACATTAATCTCTTTTTTTAAGGAAGAGGGAACTGTACTTGGAAATATGACTGTTGTAGAATCATCAGATACAACGTGTTCAAAAGATACAACGTGTTCTAGAAATCTATTTCATTTTCTGCCTTATCAATCAAAAAGGTATTTCTTGCATTAGCTTAAATTATTGTGCAACAACGCAGGTTATCGCATTAATTATTGTAATCGTATCGTTTCAGGAATACGTTTAAAGATAGTTCTACTATAAATTACTTAACGCCAAAAACTGCACGAAATTTGTTAAGGCACACTGTAACCACTTTGTTAGCGCACATAGGATTTGAAAACTCGTCAGATGTAGCCATAGAAACGCTCACCGACGTCGCGGATCACTTTCTGAGGCGGATGACTCTTCTGTTGAAAACAGCGACCGAACAGAAGGATCATGGATTTCCTGTAAGAAGAGAGAAAGCTACGCGATTATCGTTACAATTAAAGATTCTATAACAGTCTGTCCATGAATAATTTTGTGAAAACAGAGAAACCTGTGTAAAAAATATGTTATTACTATTTCAGTTTAAATTTTACTGTTGTAAAACTTTAATTAAGATTGTAGATTGAGACAGTATAAGTTAAAATGAGATAGTGTGTATACAGAGAGAAATATACCTTTTTCTCTCATAGGATTTTGACAAAATTATTCTTGACTAGAACTTTGTTACACAATCTTTAGTTACAATGACTGTGTTCAGTAGAAAAAGTAGCTTTGCAATTGTAAAATTCTTTAATATATTAATATAATTGGCTATAGATCTAGCAAGGAAATAAATGCAAGAACCAATTATATAAAAAAACCTTAATTAAAGATACCTTAAGGGTATAATAATAAATATCTAATGTAATAAAATCTTTATTTATTTTACTCGTTTATTGACCCAATATATTTACACTTAATTACTTTATCTATTAATTTTATATTAAAGAATCTGACAACAGTTGCAAAGCTACTTTTTCTGCTGAACGCAGCTAACATATAGTTATCCAAATATCAGATTTTTTTATTTATCAGGATGCCGTGGAGAGAGTAATGCTAGAGACAGGCGTGGGAGATGTATCGGCGTTGCATGACTACTACCAGGAATATGTCTTGAAGTTTGAGGGGAACGCGAAGAGGAAAGTCGAGGAAATGATGGAGAGACAGAGGCAACTTGAACTTAATGCTTGTAGTACCAAGTATTGGACTGCATTGAGCCACTGACATAATTTTCTCAGGACGTATGTTGCGTTTTGTGTAAACGATATTCGTCGATTTTTTTCAGACTGGATGAGGCGGCCAACAAGCTGCAATTCGAAGAGCTCGACGAGTTTGGCAACGTGTATCGTGAAGTCCCGACGTTGCAACTGCTCGATCCCGACATGGGATTTCCACCCAGTCTGGACGCTGGCTTTCAAATGCTCTATAGTCTCGAACAGGACGAGTAGGCTTTCCTTCGCGAGTCAAAATAATAATTTTGCTGCTTCGGGCTTCCAGATTGAATAGCATAGAAGAGGAGGAAATAAACGTGAACGATTCCCCGATCGCGGAGCAACGATTAGACGATATTTGCGGATAAAACGAGATGTTAATTTGTATAAGATTTATGATTTTCATTCGTCGTCTCGCAACACGTATTTGTCGAGGCTTAAATAAAGAATTTTTTCCAGACTTTACATTGGGATTTTTTTATAATTACCATGTAATTAACGAAAATATGAACCAGAGTGGGTCGATGAAGCAGGTCGCTTATAATATACAGTGAGAGTAAAAAAAGTTTCGTACAAAAAAATTTGTTATAAATAAAGTTTTATTTGTAGAAAATAAACATTAATTTGCAATTTTATACAATGAATATATTCTATTCTAACCACGGCTGGGCATGTATTTGAAATACTTTTATTTAAAACACACTATTTACAATACAAGCGTACTTTGTATTTTTTATTTCAGCGGATCACATAAAAGTATCACATATTTTTGTATTTAAAATCGAAAGGTTGAAAGATGTTTGTACTTTGTAATTGAAATAATAAAGTTTATTGTCAATGTTAGTATTTGAAATACAAAATACAAAATACTTTCGATCTTTTGTTATTAATATCGAAATACAAAATACAAAACACTTTTATATGCTTCCATGAAATACAAAACACAAAATATTTTCATGTACTCTGAATAAACACAAAATATAAAATATATTTGTCTTACCAATACTATTTTTCAAATAAAAGTATTTCAAAATTTTTTTAAATACACCCAGCCCTGTAGAGCTATTCTGTAACTTTTAATTATACGTTCGGTATCGTTACATTATCGTTGCGCAGCTTTTTCATCGTGTAAAATACCTGCGCAACAACATTCCTAGCTAGTAAAATTGTTGTTAAAAAGTTACAGAATAGGCCTACTGGTTCTAACATAAACAAACGAACTTCGCGTGTATTCTTGATTTTAGAAGCTAAATTTCTCGACTGTACGAATACTTTTTGAGCCTCCAAATACAATTTTTAATTTTCGCTTATTTTTCAGATGATATATTTTCTATAATTAATACACATCTTTTTGGTATATATAATTTGAAGAAACATACAGTCTATTTTATTTTTTATGAATAAATTGTTAATTACCCAACAAGGAACGATCATAAATTAAACGTCGAATCGACGTCAAATTGGTGTTGAAATCATCGTATCGATATCGATTCGACATCAATTCGATGTCTCATTTCTCGCTGGATAATATTTACTTTTTAAAAATAAAGTTTTTTTTTTAATATTTTCTCTGTACGAATACTTTTTTGCACTCACTGTAAGAGCTCGCAGTCGATAAGGTAGAACGCGCATTGTCCGGCGTGACGTCACAGATATCTCCACCAATCCCCGCGTCCTCGCGGATCGTAAAACGACCTGGTTCGCGTCTCCGTTATTCGCGATATAGCGCGTTTCCCTCGTACGTTTCTCGTTGCGCTCGTTACGTCTTCCCGAATGCATCGTCATTGAAGTGAACCCCTCATCGCCCGCGGCCTGGAGCGTAGCGTACCAACTTTCGCCACGCGTCCCAGAATTACGTCGTGACGCACGCTGACGACACGTCAAAAATGGCAGATTCTGCGCCCAGCAAGGCCGACATCGAGGAGATATTCAAGAGACTGCGGGCTATTCCGACCAACAAGGTTTGTTGAACGCGAGAACATCGAGATCTGCGGATCGATGGCGAATAAAGCGGGACGGGGTCCAAGTCCATCGAACTACGGGATCGCGGACGCCACGCTGTCAGGCTGCAGTTTCCCAGCGAAGTCTAGCTTTCACTTGTGTTGTTGTGTACCGCAACTTTTAAGATTTTACGATTTCTCATATTTTTTAAGCTTCCTCAACGGTTCATTTTCTCGGTTTTTCTAACCAACAATACCGAAATGAAACTTCTGCAAATGTTTATTTACTTATTTATTGATCCTGATAATCTTTTAGCCTACAACACCAAAAAAAAAGAATGTTTGAACCTTTCTTCGAAACACTTTCGACACTGCAGATAGATTAGCAAAAGGATATTTATATATCTATCTAAATATTTGTCTTATAAATTACATAATTATATTATATAAACTCTTTAAATTAAAATCTAAATGGATCTTTCATATACCGACTTGTTTTTACCTTTTCTAACAATTCCAGATCTCTTTGTAACAAGGATCATTATTTATTCAATTAATATTAAGATATGCTGCAATATTGCTTCAATCTTTATTCTTCACAACAAGGAAAGGTCTTTGAACTAGAATTTTTCAGTTCTTGTTTCATTTTTAATAAATGTGTTTTGATTCAACACACTATTTATCGAGTATATTATTGTCCAAATAACACTATTTCCTATTATTTCTGTCCTTTAAGATAATGTGTCACATTCTGTGTAATTTATCATAATTATAACAAATTACATTCACATCTTTTTTTCTTTCTCTTTCAGACGTGTTTTGATTGCAATGCAAAGAATCCAGCATGGGCCAGCGTAACATACGGCGTGTTCTTGTGCATCGACTGCTCGGCGGTGCACCGTGGTCTGGGAGTTCATCTCACCTTTGTCAGATCTACCCAACTTGACACAAATTGGACATGGCTGCAGCTGAGGAATATGCAGCTGGGTGGTAATGCTAATGCTGTTAGTTTCAATGTCTTGTAACATTTAATAATTCCACTTTTATTGAAAAAAATGATTGATAATCAAATCGAATACGAGTTCACATCTTGTGTTATTGTTACCTCAGAGAAAATTTTTTGCGCAACAAAACTGCACCTCAAACGATGCCCAGCAGAAGTATAAATCGCGTGCGGCCATGTTGTATAGGGAGAAATTGGGCCAGGCATCTGCCCAAGCGATGCGTCGTTATAACACAAAGGTATTTATGTTAAAGAATTATTGAATGAATATTTGTGATATTTGATAGGCATTATTAGATCCGTCCTAACTATGAATTATATAATAATTATAGGTCTCTCTTTCTACATCAAAAAATAAAACAATGGTGAGCTGAGTAAATGTTTTGAGAAATCAGTTCCTTTTTTTTCGCAATTCTACTAACATCCACTTATGACATCTTGACAGCTTTTTACTTCTAAATTTAAATATATCCTTATCATTGCGATATCGATGCATAGTCCTCCATGTGTGATGATCTACAATTGTACAAATATGTATGTTTGATTGCTTATAAAAATGCTATTCATCATTTATGTTCACAATATAAAATTCGCTATCAAGACTGTCGTACATATATATATTTTCAAGATACATGTTTTAATACGATGTATTTTAATATATACGATAATATTTATTTGTTCTTTTTGGCTGTTGTATGTAATAATCTATACAGAGTGTTTGCAAAATATCTGGACAAACTTTACTAGTGTATGTTTTATTAATTATCGAAAAAAATATTAAACATAAGTTCGCAAATGTATTCTTTCTCCAATTATCAATTATCAATTGAAAATCATAAATTAGCAGAAAGAGTTTATCATAAATTATTAAATGTTAATGTTGGGTACTGTGACCACAATACAATACAACAACAAGCATGTGGTAGTGTTATGCAAATATGTATTAATAAAGGTAAAGTTTGGCCAAACATTTTAAGAACTTCCATTTAAATCTAATTGTTCTTTTTGCAGTTGCATTTAGAGGAAGGCACAGAAATTGTGTCAGAAGAAACAAACGAGCCAGATTTTTTCAAACAACACGAGAATTTAGATTTGCTCCAGAACGAAATGATAATTCCGATAGAAGAAAAGGCATTCCTCACATCTAATACAGTGCCAAGCAATGACAGTACAGAAAAAAGTGTACCGGAAGTTGCCTCTAATTCCCTCGGACCTTCTGTAAAACTTTTTGATTCTACCTCAAACAATCTACAGTCTGAAAGAAAACCTACTATAGGCGGCAGAACAGCTCAATCCAAACGTCCTGGTGGAGTAAGTTCGTTTCGTGATTAATGTAACAGTTGCAACACAAAATTGTATTACAATTATTGTGTCTTTAATTACAGCTAGGGAAGAAAACTGGGAGTTTAGGTGCACAGAGAGTTAAAACTAATTTTGATGAACTGGAGAAAAGCGTTGCAGAAGCACATAAACTGGCACAAGAAAAGAATAAAGAAGTGACAAAGGAAGAACAAGAGGAACTCGCTACTCGTCTAGTTCAGCGATACGAACACAATTTGAGTCAGCAGGCCAAGAAAGTGGAAGAAAGAGTGAAGCATCTGGATCCATCAAAAGCCTCACAGGCGGAACGTCTTGGAATGGGATTTAATGCACGAAGGTAATAAAAATACGCGCTCTATCTCACTCTCACATTTCAAGAGACACCTGTAAGATTTGTTTGAAGAGTTCATGTATTAAGTTATCTTCTATTTTCCTTTTTTTTTTAGTGGTGCGACTCACTCTGCCCTTGGAGACATGAAGACAATAACGCAGGAGTCGAAAGGAGTCGTGACATCAATGGAGGTGCTCTCTGGAGAAACAGAATCTTTCTTTACTTTAGATGAATTTTATTCGGTTTACGCTAACAGCAAGCCGTCTTCGCGCAGCGACGAAATTGTGGTCGTGGCAGAACCGGAACCGCCTAAACGATTAGGTCCCTCTACTCGCAGCACAATTACCAAGAGCGATATGAAAACTTCGTCTGTTATTGAAGGCGAAGCTCAGAAGAAGTTCGGTAGCGCTAAGGCTATCAGTTCGGAGCAATATTTTCAAGATAGTACTTCCGACAATGCGGTAAGAACAAATTATAAATGTAACTTTCCTAAAAAAATATCTCGGATTAAGATTACGTTTTTTATTAGCATGTAAAAGACTTCTTTTCTTATAATTATTCTTCGATATCTGAATTTGCAGTGGGAACGTAAGAATAATTTACGCCGATTCGAGGGCTCATCCAGCATCTCATCGGCCGATTACTTTGGCATCGAAAACTCTCCAACCTCGCCCACATCCTCATTATCTATGCGTCTGACTGCGGGAAGAGCCGGAGTCGTAGATCTCGATGATGTCCGAGAGAGCGTGCGTCAAGGTGTAAACAAGGTTGCTGGAAGACTCAGTTCGCTCGCAAACGCGGCGGTTTCTTCTATACAAGATCGTTATGGACTCTAAATGGAATCTATCGCATTTTATGAGAACTGTTACACTACTTATTCGGACCCAGTTTTGTCCATTGTTCAGAGTTGTAAATAAAAGCTTCTAATTGAGCTTCCGCGTAACTTATTCTTCGGATGTGTTGCGCGCGAATATATATACATATATATATTCGCACTTTTTATGAACGATGAATCGATGAACGAGTACAATGTAAAAGTAACACAGATTCGAGAATGAAAATATAAATATAATGTATTTTATAAACACGTCTGCTCCATCTCTTTATAACAGAGCCAGTATATTGCATAGTATATTGTACAACAAATATCTCTATATCAAAAATTGTATCAATACGAAATTGAAAGTAAAATGTCCGTAATAATTTAGATAAAACATACAATGTCGCTATACAATTTAAAACAATTATAGCTCTATACCCGCCGGTGGATTTTGGCAATGCAAAATTAATCGCGAACACGGCTTGCCGTGGAGAAAGCACACGAGTATCACTGTCATATTGTCGCAGCCGGTGCCCATAAGAGCGTCCGGCGCCAGGCAACAGTTTAAAAGTTCCTCGCAGATCTCCTCGGGATGTATCGTACAGTTCGACGCTTCTCCATTGCCAAGTTTTGAATGCGCTAAACGCATTCTTATGAATTGAACTACCTCTTCGCTGGTCATCACGTCCCAAATACCATCGCACGCCAAAACGACAAATTCCCAGTCCTCGTCAATGGTAAGCTGTTGTACCTCGGGAAACGCTACGAATTTATAATCCTTTTTGATGCAAAAGTTTAATTGAAAGGCATTACATTTGGTATTTCATTATTACCGGTTACGATCTGTTCCTGCGGCGATTTACGGTCATTCCGCTTAAATATGAAATCCCCGAGGGCACGAGACAGCGCCAGATTGCCGTTCACCCTTTTGTATTCAACGAAACCACCCGCTGCTTCGATACGTTTGCGCTCGTCCTTTAACGTGGGTTTATGGTCTCGACTGAGAGCAACTGCCCTGCCATTGATACAAGCCACCGCTCTGCTGTCACCTGCATTAGCCTACAAAAGCTTTTCTAGTGGTCGGATTCAAACGTCAAGATGCATTATTGTACAGCCGAAATGAGATAAACGACTTACACTGTATAAAATATTATCTTTGATGAGAAGCGCAATAACAGTTGTTCCGGCATGTTCATCCCTAAGCGCAGCATTATTCTGCATTGCTTTGTCCAATTCTAAGAAGCCTTGTTGTATCGCACCTACGATATCGCCTTCCTTATATTCACTCCTTTTAATTATATATTCGTGAAGATGCTTTCCAGCGTGTTGCGCCATAGCTGCACCTATAAATATATAGTAAGTATTATATATCATATATATGTATTACTATATTGTTATCTATGTATTGTCTATCAAATATTTCTAATATCCATTTGATTATCCTGCGTGAATACAAAAATGTATACTAGATATATACAGTTACTTGAAAATTTACTTATGCTATTGTTTAATAAATCTATTCCACGTTCAGTATCTACCTCCATGTCCATCATAGACAGCGAAGAATGCAGTGCCTGGGTCACTGGGTAAAGAAAGTATGTGCACATGTGAATCTTCCATCTTAATGCGCCATCCTTGCATGCAGGAACTTCCTACCCGATAGTTGCTATCCCGGCAACAAGCAGACTTCTTCTTCGTAATTGGTTCGCTAAGCGTTTGTCCCATCTTTCCTTCTCAATTAATATTAAGCCTATACATGAATAAAACGCGATTTAATATGATATTATTAATATTATGACAGCTAAATTAATCAAGATTAAACGAATCCAGGCGTGATACTTATAAATTATCAATTCGCAGAATTTTGCTCAAAATCACCTTAACGTCAACGTCGTTATTTTAGGACTTCTAATTTAAATGCGTTTCACTCCACTCCGGTTTCATAACAACTTCCCATTCAGAAACGCGCTGAAACGCGCGTAATATACAGTCAATTTGTCATCAGCTCCACCCCGTGTTGCTTTCCGTGTTTTCCATTCGGCCATAGGAAATATTGCGCGTAGACAGTCAAGCAGACATCGATCGCGAGACAAACAGCTGATCTGGATTGATGATGTCACGAGTCCGATAGCTTTTTTATAGAATGAGCCATGACGTCATTATGCAGGCAGATTTGTTCGGTGAGTTTGGTTAAGGCACTAGATATGTAGGGGATCGATTACTGTATCTTGGAGCTTATTACGGTTTTTGTGACGAAGTGAAAATTACAAAAATGATCAAATTCACTAGAAGTTAACCAATGAAGTTATAAATTATCAGTATTCTAGTAAATTCAATCACTTTTGTAATTTTCACTTCGTCACAAGGAACCGTAATAAGCCTCCTTGAAACGAGGTGAAAATTATAAAAGTGAGCGAATTTACTAGATACTGATAATTTCATCGGTCAACACCTAGTAAATTTGCTCACTTTTGTAATTTTCACCTTGTTTAAAGGCCACTGTCACCAAGCTCAATTGATCTAACTAGGTCAGTTAGTCCATCGGAATTGACCAATCGCATTTGTCATTTTATTTGAAGAATTGACAGATTGGTCAATTCCGATGGATTAATTGGCCCAGTTAA